TGAAAGGGCGAGCATGTTTGGTGGGACGGGGATTCGAACCCACGACCCTCAGATTGCGAGTTGAGCACCCTAACCACCTGGCCATGACGGGCATATTTGGGAACTACTGTATGTATACATAGCAAATGTTAATGCTATATTGATACGCTTATATGGGAACAATTTATTCCCTAATTATACATGACACTGAAGCTGGAGATGCGCGTCAACGTGCGAGTTAATACATTTACGTCAAAAAAAAAATTCGAACTCATTGGCATCAGTATTAATCCATAGAGCTAGAATAAGTTTTCGTGTTTTATTGGAATAAACTGACAAATTAGATAACATAAAAGTTTAGTTTAGGTCAAACATCTCGCCCAGATCTTTTCGATACTTTTTCAATATAATCAATATGATGAACTGCTTCTTGGAACTTATAACAAGAACCGAGAGGAGTTTTATTTCAAACATATTTCCGGACGAACTAACGATGTTCTCCAGTTTATCTCATTTGCCAGGATCTCTTGGAGTTGAAAGATTTCTGTGCTCTCGTCTAGATGCACTTCAAACTAAGCAAAGACAAGAACAAATTTAACGAGGGGGAAAAAAAGCGGAGTGACTGGACTACGAGAGGCAAAGATAGTGGGACATATCTTCAAACTTTTAATACCATTGTCAAGTGGTCACCTTGTTGCAGGAAGCTAGGAATTAAAGATTTTTTAAGCATTTATTTTTTGATGATGTGATTCAATAAAACTACGCGTTTTTTTTTTCAAGTATCAGGGGAACTTTATACATAATCATTATAAAACTTTATTTTATTAAAGTACAATTGAACCGTATGTCCTTCCAATAGCCGTTAATACCGTAGGGTTAAACACTAGATGTAACAATCACATCCTTCATGAATCAGAGTTTGATATATATTTTTTGGAGTAACGATATATGAAAGATGATATAATTACGTACAGTGTGTTCTTTGTTTGCTGATTTCTTATGTCCTTCCAATAGCCGTTAATACCGTAGGGTTAAACATTAGATGTAACAATCACATCCTTCATGAATCAGAGTTTGATATATATTTTTTGGAGTAACGAT